TTTTTTATGGCTGAATAATAACTCACTACTTGGCTGTTATGGCTGCATTTTGCTTATCCCTTCATCAGTTGATGGGCATTTGCATTGTTTCTACTCTGAGCATTCATGTCCAAGTTTTTGTGTGAATCTAAGCTTGTAATTCTCCTGGGTAGGTACTTTAGATTGAATTTCTGGGTCTTGTGGTAACAATGTTTAATTTTTTGTGGAACTTTTTGTTATTGTGGCTAGGTTGTTTGTTTTGCTAATGGGAATATATGAAGGTTCCAGTTACTCCCCGTGTTTGCCAGCAAAGCACTTGTTAATTTGCCCTTTTTTTTTTTTGCAGTTTTTGGCTGGGCCTGGGTTTGAACTCGCTACCTCTGGCATATGGGGCTGGCGCCCTACTCCTTTGAGCCACAGGAGTGCCCTGTTAATTTGCTTTTTAAAAAATGGCCAGGTACAGTGGCTCATGCCTGTAATCCTAGCACTCTGGGAAGCCGAGGTAGGTGAATCACTTGAGTTTAGGAGTTCAGACCAGCCTGAGCAAGAACAAAACCCTGTCTCTACTAAAAATAGAAAAACTAGCCAGGCATTGTGGCAAGTACCTATAGTCTCAGCTACTCAGGAGGCTGAGGCAAGAGGATTGCTCAAACCCAAGAATTTGAGGTGCCTGTGAGCTAGGATGCTATGACACTCTGCCCAGGGAAACAGTGAGACTCTGTCTCGAAAAAAAGAATAAATAAAAATTATAGCCATTATAATGGGTGTGAAATGTTGAGCATCTTTTCATTTGTTCATTGGCCATTTGTATGTCTTCCTTGAAGATATGTTTATTCAATTTTTTGCCTATTTTTAAATAGATTGTTTATCTTTTTGTTGATTTATGAGAGTTCTTTTTATATATTCGGGATGTTAGAGCCTTATCAGATGTGATTTACAGACATTTTCTCTTATCCTGTGCATTGTCTTTTTGCTTTCTTAATATGTAATATCTTTCGATGTGCAAAAATAATTAGTTTTGATGAAGTCCAACTTATCTGTATTTTCTTTTATATGATTTTGATGTCATTCAGCTCTGGATTACTTTTCACCTCTGCTTTTAACTTCTTG